TATGGAGACTGCCAAGGTTTCACATAATGTTGGGCCACCTCTCGAGCTTTTAAAAGATTATCATACAACTCCTTATATGATATAGGGATATGATTAAAATAAGAGCCACCTCTTAGCTTGTATTGAACTGGAGTCTTCAAATTTACTTCTCATGACTCTAGAAGTATACTCTCAAATTCCCTCGAGTTTTGAGTGCATGGATTATTTTCATCTTTCTGAACTCCTACAATTGTCACCATTTCATTGGTTTCTCCAGACAACTTTTTGAAGTGAATGGTGATTGTATGTGATTTATCAAATTGGCTAGGATTAACCTGTTCTAATGTAGTCCTTTTTTTATTTGACATTGCGGGATCATTTTCATCGAGCTCTTTTCTTACTTTTGTAGAATTCTCTTTTCCTTTGAGAAAAACAGTTATTCTATCTATCATCTTGGACGTTTGCACTCTTATCTCTCTTATCTCCTTTTGCTCTTCGTCGGACACACGTTCCTTGGGCGCATAGCTCTCTACTATTATAGGAGTTTCCTTATGATGCCATTCCCAAGTGGTGTTATATTTTACTTGATCATGAAACCCTTTGTCCATCACAAAAACATTTTACTCTGGTGACCACTCATAAATCAACACCTATGAAAAATGTTATGATCATGCGATACAAGAAAAAAAAAGCAATCATAAAAGCAAGTTAGTACAAATGAGATAACAAGATTACTATATAAGAAAATAGCAAAATTAATAAGCTAATGCAAAATGAGAATGCAAATGCAAATACACAAGGTGTTAATTCCCAAAAGCGACCACCATAAAACAACCTTCATCAGACCATAAGTGCTCTTTATACTAGATAGACGAGCTTCATTTTCTTCAATTACTCGAACTAGGCCTTTATCATGATTTGATGTTTTCTTTGTAATCGTTGTTGGACTCCTCAAAGTGCTGACCCACATTTCTTTGTTTTAATTCACCCATTGTGATTATGGGATCTCTAAACTTCCATTTCCGTAGGATTCTCCAAGAAGAAAGCGACTTTGATATCTCACGAAGTATCTTCTCACTCTTAACTCAACTATTGTCTGGCTATTTGATATCATCTTGATCTTTGTTTAATGGGAGTCTTCGATCAATCTTTGAGCTATTCTCTCGTCTATCAACTTTGTTTGTAAGTCGCCCTTACGGAGTTGACTATCTAGTTATGGAACTATTATGTTAGTATAAAAACCTTCTATTTGATCAATCACTTATGAATTAACACCTTATTTGGTTATGACGTGCAAATGCAAACATAAGGCCGATAAAAATAAGATAAAACAAAAGAAATTGTTTGTACCACTTAACCAAAAAGAAGAAGAAATATTTACGAAATGAAAAGATCTTACCCAACATTGTATCTACCATGACATGTTTTTATAATAGTTTTACCCAGAAATATTTTCTACCCCCATAAATCCTAACCTCGTGTCATCTAGTTCACATGCTTGTTTGAAAAAAATGAACCTAACCGCATACTCTTCTAATTCTCATGTTTTTTGCAAAATAAATAAATAAATTCGAGGAAAATATTAGAGTGAGTTTCCCTTTTGTGACCTTTGAAGAACAGCGAACATAAATTCAGTATGAAACGAGCAAAGTTTCAGTATTACTAATAGAGTCCTCGAATTATCCTTTCCTGGTGCCCCCTTGGGCCTGTCAGACCTTCAATCCTCACCCATTATAGGCTTAAACGGGTCGAGTTCAATTCGAGAAGATGCATTTCCACATGTCCATACAAGAAAACTCAATGTTTTGCTTGTAAACAAGAGGCACAAGCACCCTAGAGGTTACTTGCTAAAGCCTGTGGAGAAAAATAATTTTTCTCACGCAAGCGTAGCATTCACCCTACCTAACAGGATAGAGCACAGTTGAAGGCTTTAAATATTTGAACAGTTATAGTGCGGGTAGGGAGAAACTCACAATCATTTGTCTTGATCCAAAAACCAACAGACTAAAACAAAAATATAAAATCTGAAACATGCAAATCATACGTTAGTACAACTAATAAATAAAAGATGTACAATGCGATGCAACCAAAACGTGAGGATCAAAATTTAAATATCATTCGAATTTACCATTTTCGACTAAAAAGATGATTTATAATCGATTACAGCCTGACTCTCTAATGTCCCCAGCGGAGTCGCCAAGCTGTTGGAACGGCCTTAAGCTTTTTAGGGCTATTTCGGTTTTTAAAATAAATGCACAAATAAACAAATTTGGAGTCGTCATCGACCTTTGGGTTAGATAGGTCGAATACCTAAAAATATCTTTTAAAATATTTTTAAGAAAAATAATTTTAAAAGATAAAAAATTATATGCATTTAACTAGAAATTCGTCTTGAAAAAGGGTTCGAGAGTCAATTACGTATGGGGAAGGATTAGTACCCCCACAGCGTCCGAAATCGTATCTAAGTGATTTGACATCATCTAAATATTGAAATTTGAAAATTCAAATATACATTTAAATTATGATCTTTTTTAGAAAAAATATAAGGGATATTATTTTACATGAACAATCCTCGAAATAACTTCCTTGCCGGCTAAGGGGGCATTTCCATGGATTCCCCTTACAAAATAATATTGCCTTAGCTTTTAGATAAAATACATATATTAAATATATTTAAAAAAACAAATTCATTCGAATGTAAAAGGTGTTATTTTGTTCGAACAATTCTTGGAAACGCACTCATTGTTAGTTAAGGCACGTTTCTATAAATTCCTCATGTAAAATAGTATTTGAAAATATTACAACTAGCAAGAAATTAACGAATATGTAAACGATGGATCAAAATAATAAAGATGGTGACTTTAGGGATTAAACCATAAAACCAACAAGAAATCAAGGCAACCATTGCAAATATTTTACAAAGTAGGCACGACAATCGTAAATAGACCAACTTCAATCATTCAGGACCAAAATGGACATTTTTAAAGTAAGGCACTCAAATTAAAATAATCCTAAAAATAAGATAACATGCATAAAACAAGAAGGCAAAATCAGAATTCTCATATAAATATGTTAACTAGCAAATTCATACTAAAATAAATATAAGAAAATAAAAGGCTCGAAACAAGAGAATTAGAACTTCAATCCATGACTAAAGTGAAAGGCTTACAAAACCAGGATGGCCAGGAAAGGGGTTAACCTATATGCTGAACTCAGGGAACCCTATTCCAAAAACAATATAGTTTTGAATATGCTATATAACTCCTTTTTTCTCCTTTTTTTTAAATTTCTTTTCTTTTTTTCCTTTTCGGGTAGAGAGAGAAGCTCTCCCCTCTCTCTACAAGATTCGGTGAGTCTTCGGCGAGTGGTTTTGCCACAGGTCGTCGCCGTACTCTGGCGGCTTTTCAAGCCCCGATTACACCAGTGGCTTCATCTCGAGGCCAAGAGCATGGATCCGGTCTTGGTTTCACTGAATAACGTCCAAATCTTCATAAATCGAACAAAAACCATTCGATTTTCCCACTCTCTGATCTCTTCATCCGACCGTTGGATCAACTCGGTTTCGGAATATGTTGCTCCCACCACCAATGCGCGCCTTCTCACTGACCAGATCTGCGAGCGACCTTTCTAGCACTGGCGAATACTCGATCGAAGGTAGATCCCTTTTTCTACTCTCGTTTTTCTTCGATTTTGTTCCCCTTTCTTGTTTGTTTTCTTTTTCTTTTTCGTTTTTCTCTTCGAAACGAACAATTCCTTTTTTTTATTTCCCTCCCCAATTTTTCTCTATCTCTCGATTTAAATATCCCCCTTCTTTTTTTCGAAAAAGCCTTTTGCCTCTTATAACCATGGTGATTGCTTGTTTTGTGAGGATTTGGTGATAGGACATAATGATGACTCGTATGGGTTCTGCAAGCCATGGCAGTGGGTCAGTGGTCTAGTGATGGGGCAGTCAGGGATGAGCTGGGATGGGTACAGCAACAGTAACCGGGGCATTGAATGCCCTGAATTTTCATGGATTCCCGCTCCCTCCCATTTTTTATTTTTCTATTGATTTTTTTGATTAAATGAATTGGTTCGGTAATATTTTTTGAACAGGGGTTTCGATCTGGTGAGGGGCTTCATCAGCGATGGCGTGTCCGGCAATGATGTGCACTGGTGATGGTTTTTCGGTTGGCAGCGGCGATGACTATCTTTGTTGGTGGCGGCGGTGATAGGAGAATTAAGGTTCAGAAACCCTAATTACTTTGGGCTGGTTTGGGTCGGATATCCCTTTGGGCTTTGATGCTATGGGCAACTTGTAATAGTGCCTGATTGGGTTGTAGTTTTGGCCTGTAAGAAATAAAATAAATGTAATAATAATAATAATAATAGTCCGGGCGAAAACGGGTGTCGACGCTATTGTATAATAATATATTTCTTATTTATCCATAGCTCAATGAACGCCTCGCCAAGGAAACATGATAGCTTAGCCAAACTTGCTCATTCAAACTCTTTTGACATGTTGGTATTCACCTTAACATCGTCGAATGCACTGGTTTTAGTTACGAGGGATATTCATGGTCCTCTTACTTAAGACTCTAATGTAATTTCCCGACTCTTTCCAATTCAAAAAATATATAAATTTTTTATGCACATGTTGTTTTGTTCCATTAATTTTAATATAATTATAAAATTTATAGTTTAAACTTTATGAAGTGTAATTCAAACTAAATATAAAATAATAAAAGATTATTAATGGTATTTTTATTAAAAATGTCGGGTTCGAATAATTGTATCTATATATATGTGTAATATCATTTTTAGTCACATGTTATATTTATATGGATAATTTTTTTATATATAAATTAAAATCTTTTAATTAAATAATCTTTGGGGGAAAACACTTGGATTGTTCCAACCAAAGCCCATAAACACTAACACTAGAACTGATAAAAGGCCCAACAATGTTCTCTTCCATATATATATATATATATATATATATATATATATATATATATATGAACCCTAATTTATCACTCAGGAAACCCTAGCTATTCATTTCGCTGCCATCCCCGCGAAGCTCCAGCTAGCCACTGAGCAGAGCCGTCAACAGATCCAAAACAATGGGCCGCGTCCGTACTAAAACAGTGAAGAAATCGTCCCGTCAGGTGATCGAGCGGTACTACTCGCGCATGACCCTCGATTTCCATACCAACAAGAAGATCATCGAAGAAGTCGCCATCATCCCATCCAAGAGGCTCCGTAACAAGATCGCCGGGTTCTCCACCCATTTGATGAAACGGATCCAGAAGGGACCCGTTCGCGGCATTTCCCTCAAGCTCCAAGAGGAAGAGCGTGAGCGACGCATGGATTTTGTCCCCGATGAATCGGCTATCAAGATCGACCAAATCGAGGTCGATAAGGAAACACTCGACATGCTTTCGGTTCTTGGGATGTCTGATATCCCTGGGCTTGTTAAGGTTGACCCGGTTGCTGTTGCTCCTCAAATCGGGTTCGGCCGCGGTGGTGGACCTGGGAGGAGGTTTTAAGTGGTGAGTGTTCATCTGTTCAATGGGTTCTTAATTTTAAGTATGTTATGGTTTTTTATTTAATGCTTTGTTTTTAGTTGAACAATGTTAGTTATGATAAAGGGTACTGGAATTTATTAAGTTTTATATGCACTTTTGTTTTTGAAGTGTTTGAAATGAGGAACTTTTAGTTTCTGGGATGGATAATTGCCCTTATTTAGCTGTTGATTGATTGTAATGTTGAATTCGAGGTTAAGGCACCGTTTTGGCATTCCAATTTTAGAGATAATGAATTTCCAATTCTGATTTCTAATTGCCAATATCCCCTGCAATATTAAAGTAACAATAAAATTTGATAAGGTAAAGGACTATTTTGTAATAATTTGATAAGTATAAGGATCATTTTGTAACATCCCAATAAATTTTTAAGGATCATTTTGTAACATTTGGAAGGTTGTTGATCAAAAAGACCATTTTTACATAGTACACTGACCTGTAGTATACTTTACCCCTATTTTCTTTGATCTTTGAATTTTCTGATCATGGTTGGTTTTGAATATGGAGATAAATAATGTTAGAATGCAAACCGATTCGATTTCGAAGGCATCTTGAATAGATATATCTTAGATTAGTGCTCAGGAAAACCATTGTTGGTCTGCTATAGTGTATATAGATGCTTTTGATTTAAAGCTAATATTGTGTTTGTGTGTGTCTGATTACAGTGCTTAGAAGAATCGTAAAGATTTTGTTTTGAAAACAAGACCTTAGACAAAGTGTTGATATGTGTCTTCGGTTTAAAGCCAATCTTGTGTGCATGCATGTATGTGTGTGAGTGATTATAAACTTATAATGCTAAGAAGATTGTATGCTTGACTTTTGATCCGTAACGTGATTTTTTGTTATGAGATTTCTCATATGGTTTAGTGTTGTATCTCTATGAGCTTATATTGTCTTGGACTGGATCCGGCAATGGTAGATTAGCATAAGCGTATTTCATCTCGTGTTTACTTGGGTGCAAAGTGTTAGATCGGGTCTGTCTTGTGCTGCTGTGTTTGACCATAAACTTGAATTGATATATCGAAATTTCTTATGTATGTATGTAGGCATGCATGTATGGATGCTGGAAGAAATTGTTTGAATATGAACCATAAAACAATTTGGGAATATACTTGGACTTGGGTGCAAGTGTTAGATTGGGTCTGTCTATGCTGTTGTGTTTGACCATAAACTTGAAATGCTATATTGAAATTTCTTATGTATGTATGTAGGCAGGCATGCATGGATGGATGGGTGGAAGAATTTGTTTGAATATGAACCATAAAACAATTTGGGAATATACTAAAACTAGATTCGCAACAAAATTACATGACAAATTGTTTGATTATGGTTATGATTGTACCAATTTGGATTGAGAGCCAACTTCATCTATATATATTGATCTTTTTCAAATCTATGGTTGTGATTAAGCAAATGACTTTTTAAAGATGATAATTTATTCTATGTGCATTTTGAAAGTGAGTAAATAAGAATGATTTATGATGATGTAGATTCTTTTCCTATACATGATTTATGTACAATTGTGATTTGATATTTTGTCTAAATAAAATAAAAAGTCAAACTTTAATATAATTTTATAATATATTTTTATAATTTTAATATTATTGTAAGTGGTTGTAAAATTTAATTTTTGTTTATGTTTTGACTTGTGATTGTTATATATATATATTTTGACATGATAGAAGCTGCAAGTCTAATTAGAATAGAAAAATATTCAAATTATAACGGAGGTTTACAATTACAATCGTAGATTGGACATATAATAAGGATATTTTTCTATAATCATTAATATAAAAAGAAGTTAATTAAGATCACACAAGGATTATATACAAGGAAAATGTTAAAAAATCTAATTAAATAAATTCAAATAAAAGATAAATACGAACAAATTTGATTGCAATAGTTAAAGTATTACAAAAGGGATTTAAACTATTGAAAGATCGTTGACAAATCAAAATTGAGCGACATAAAAACTATCCATAATTATAAATCATGTATCTAAATTTAATCTCATGGTTCAAACAAGAGAAGATTAATATAATAACAAAAATGTAATATTGAACAATCGTTGCGATGTCAAATTCAACTCTGAAAAAAGAATAAAAAAATAACGAACATACGATAAAAAATGTACCAATATACATAGGGAAATGTGTTATAAAGTCAGAGAAAATCATGTTATAAAGGTAGAATTATTAAAAATTAGAAAATTTGAAAAACCAAATATACAATATAATAAAAATAAATAATGAATACTAACAGTCAGCAACCAACACTAAGACTGGTGTCATCACCTGTCATAAAGATAATAATTATTATATTATTGTAATTGAAGATAAGAAAGTTTAGAGTTAGAATAAGAATTAATTTTGTATGTACATCTCATATGGGTTAAAAAATAGATAAAATTTATAAAATTATGTTTTGAAAGAGATTAGTTTACTTAAGTTTAAAAATTGAAAATAATTGAAAGGGTGCTTAAATAATAAATCTATATCAATTAATAATAACTTTAATATTTTAAAATAAAATATTATTTTTTAAATGTATATTGATTTAATTATCTTTTATAATAAAGATATTAGAATTAATTTTTAATTAATTTTATAAGGTGATTATAAAATAATATATGTTTGTGCGATTAGAATCAAATTTTAATCCTAATAAAAAAATCAATAGATTTACCTTTATTTTATATATACAAAATCAACATAAATATAGTAGGAATATTTGTAAAAGATTTGCTTTACATTATTGTTGGGCAACTTTAAGACTTTGTGTAGACTCTACATGTGTCAGTGTGTGTGTTTTTTGTAGAGCCACAAAAACGACAGAGATGAAAGAAAATTGGAATAAGTGCAAAGTTTTGATTGCCATAAAGATTTTTTGACAAATTTCTTTTTATTGAAAATATGTTTGGTGATGCCAATCATACCCTGCACTCGCCATTGAAGGCAATAAAGACTTGAGAGATATCCAAATTACCAGCAATTTAGATTCCAATCTTAAATGTAATCGTAAACTCCTACTATAATTGATGAAAGAAACAAACTTCCAAAATTGACTAAACTTGTTCTTTTAAAGTTTTAACAAATGGTTACAAGTTTCGTATTCGAGCACCAAAAATTACAATAATGTTTGAGTTTTTATAATTAAACGATGGAGATTTTTTAGAATATATATTAAATTGTAATCATTTTAAATTAATAATTAAAAAACACACCTAACCAAAGCCCTTAGAGTAATTTTAGTTTCTCTTTAATGAATATTATTATTTCTAAATCATGAGTTAAAACAACTAGGTGTATATCGTTGATAATAAATAAAAATTCTGAATAAATATTACATTTAATCACTCCTACAACCCCAAACTATTCATATATATATATATACACACACACACGCACACTCAACAATCTCGTAATCTCAAAGCATTACAAACCATCCCATTACACTATGAGCTAAATCAAGAAACTTTCATATTATAATATATCATAGTCAAGAAAATTTTGATGAACTAAAAAAAGAACTACACTACCAATGTCATACAAAATATCATATCTTTATACACCTTGAGCTCTTATCAGCTAATTTGGCTAACCTACAAAAACTCAGTCTATAAAGGATTAGTTTTCATTTCTTCAAACTCAAACATGGAGATTGAATACTGATTCCAAATCAGAAGGTGTAAAGAACTCCCTAACTCCATTGTAATTGCATCTCAGTGTAGGCCTACGCTTCCTTGGAGCTAAAGGGCATTGCAATTTCTCTGGTATCTTTGCTTCTTTTGAAGTTGGAGTTGTTGAACAAGTCTCTTCTTCTTCTTCTCCGTCTTCTTCGCTCTCTTTCACTCTCGGCTTCGTCTTTATCGGCTTCAATGAAGTCAGTATCGCGATGCCGGCGATTACCCATTTCTTCCTTTCGGAATCCAACACTCCATCTTGTTGCTGTTTCTTGGAAACCCTCATTTTTTTATGCAAAAACAAAAGAACCCAATCTTGAAGATGGCTAAAAACACACGCAGAGGAAGGGAAAAAGGTGTTTTGTTTGAATCAAATGAGCCAAAGATTGAGTTTTTCTTCTTCTTCTTTTCTGGGGAAAGAGGTTCTGAATTTGAGAGAAAATAAGAGATGTTTCAAGCTAACCTTTTGATATCTTAAAGGGGAAGAAGGGGTGGCTGCCCGAGGGGATTATTATTTATTTTTTTGGCGCCAAATTTGGGTAGGCTGATGAGCAACGGCTCTTTTTCCCGCCGAGATTTGTGGTGGTTTACGATTTTGCCCTTTTCTGTTTGGACATGAAAATTGATTGATTTTTTTTCCCTGGGGAGTGATGCTATCTGGTCTTGCAGTCAGGGCACAATCACCGGCGTAATGGCATAAAGGACGCATTTACGGCGACATTATTCCGTACAAATGTATGGGTCGGGTCTACTGGATGGTCCAGGGCCCAAATTTTATCGGTTATTCGAGTTAAAATATTCTACAAAAACAATATTAAATAGATGTATTGAGGAATTGGTGTTTAGAGTTTATAAGATTCAGGGTTTATGATATAGAATTTAGGTTTTTTGTACTAAGTTTCTTTCGCTTCATCACTTATGGTTCACTCATTTGAGTTTTAGTTTTATCCAGATTTCGTTTGAGTAATGGGTTAATCTAAAACTTTTGGCAATGTTTATCTCAAGTCGATATTGTTAATAAAGTGCATTATTCTCCATATTCATAGTTTAATAAACTTGTCTTCATTAATCTATCTCTTTATTAAGTTAAAAAGCTTAAAATGCCAAAGTCAAAAATAACGCTAGTAAAATTCCAGATCAAATTAGGGTAATTATAGACAAAATACAACAATGAAACGCTAGAGGAAGCCCAATGCATTAAGATAGACAACAAGTGGTGTGCTTCATGCAAACGAAAGGTTATTAAGGATAATTCATCTATGAAACTCAAACTCCCAAGCAACGTTGAACTTCTTCAGTCATGAAAAATAAAAAGACTCAATATACGAGGAAGAACGAAAAGTAATGACACATATCATATCACAAAAATTAAAATTGCACGCAAGAACATGGGTAACCACCCAGACAATCGTTGAGAATAAAAAAATCTGAATAACGAAGAAGAGGGAGAACCTTAGGCATCCAATATCATATGTTCATGTGAGACTCATAACAAAATTCACTATGCATGTCCCATCCAGACATTGCACGAAAGGAAAACATTTGACGCACACATGGATAATCTCAACCATTTAGTGCCAAAAGAACTGACATAATTGTCACAATTCGTAAAACCGACAATGAACTACAACATACATAGGTCAATGAAGATAGTCTCCGAGTAAGAAAATATCACGAAGTCGATCGCCGTGCCAAGATAGGCAAAGAAGGCAACACAACCAGTTTATATTAGAAGAACAATATCATAGTGAAGTGGACAAGCCATCGCATGTGGTCACTCAAACTCAGATAATGAGCGGGCGCTAACATTAGTTAAAAAAAGCTACCCTGAAAATGAACTTAACATCAGATAAACAATCGCACAAAATCAAGGATAACCATAACAAATATAAATAAATTTTAAACTCTATAAATGCTACAAATTGATGATTAAACTTCTTAAATTGTTACAAAATATTCCTCTTCAATGTGAAAATTTAAATAAAGTTTAATGATTTTATGACATGTTTTATAATAGTTTAATAAATTTAAATAAAGTTTAATGATTTTATGACATGTTTTATAATAGTTTAATAAATTTAAAAAATATTTTATAAGTATTTAATAAATATAATATTTATTTTATGATCATATGAGGGATTTAATAATATTTTATAATTAGTTGACACAATCTCCAAGGATTTGATTTTTTTCCCCATTAAAACAATTCAGCTAATGAATGTACAAAAGGAAAAAAAAAATTTGGTCCAAAAATCGAAGTTGATGAAAAAAAGGAATCCAATGGGCATAAAAAGTATAAGGGAATCCTAAGAAGAAGAAGATTCTATAAACCAATAAAACTAAAAATGACGAACCTGTTCCCTACTTATTTCACGGACCAATCATCACCTTTCTTTTTTCAAGTTAAACGTTTAGTTCACGGAATGTAAGATTACTAGTGGGAATAAAAGATTACCAGGGAATAGAATCACTGGGAATGTTGTATTTTGTGTTTGGTTGGTTTAGCAGGAATGTAAGATTACCGTGTTTGGTTAAATGAATAAAAGATTATTGGAATGTATATTTGACCAAATTGTCCTTATTATATATTTGTATAATATTACAAATTGTAAAATATTTATATATTTTCTTTAAAAAATTAAATTCATAATATTTATATAATTTTTTTTACAAAATTAAAAATATAAAAAAGGTTTAATGAAAGGGTAAATTTTTTTAATCCCTGAGCTTCATATAAAAATTTAATTATAGACTTTTTTGTGAATCTAAAATAATTTAAGGATAAATTTATAATTTAACCTTCGTAGAATTTTTATTATTCAATGACAGAAGAATGATATTTTTGAAAGAAAAAAAAATAAAAATTTAAGGGCATTTTAGTCCAAAACGCTGATAATGTTACAATACCTAAGGGAAGGGAGGTAATGACAATCCCGGTAATATACCCCAAAAAATTTACTATTGATAATAAAACATTACTGGGAATGAGATTCCCGGCCAACCAAACATAGGAATGTGGGATTCCCATCCCATGGGAATCCCACAATCCTTGAACCAAACACCCCCTAAGAGATTTAAAGAAGACACGCCGATAAAAAAATTAATATAATATTTGATTAAATAATTATTTTAAGTTTTTTTTAAAAAAATATTATATAAAGTACATAGATGGTCCATGATTATAGGACGATGTTTTATTCATTTATCTAATTATTAAAAATTACAAAATGATTCATCGACTATAAGATGTCGACTATTAAAAGTTACAAAATGATCACTCAACTATTCATACGTTTTAAACTTGTTCTTTTTCGTTAAAAAATGATGACAGTCTAAATTGGACGTTAACATGTTAATTGAGATCGGTGGCAGATCCAGAAATTTATGAATGGGGTCCAAAATTTTAATTTTCTTTTCTTAAAATTAATGGGGTGCAAAATTGTTTATTTTTTCCATTTTTCTTTAACATATTATACTAAATTTTATTTTTTCCCCTAAATAATGGGGATACACTTGATCCCTATAGGGCTTAGTGCATCCGCCCCTGACTGAGATACTATAGTCGTTTAAGATTTTTAGATTATATTTTATCTATCAAAGTCAACAAGTTAACATCTATATCAGATTGATGTCAATTTTTTAACAAAAATGACGAGTTTGAAATATATTAATAGTTGAGAGACCATTTTGTAATTTTTAAAAATCGAGGGACTCAACAAATCAACACTTTATAATCAAGTGATCATTTGTAACTTTTAATAATCGATTGACTCAATAAAATAACGTTTTATAGTCTAGAGATCATATGTATACTTTACCCTAAAATATTTTGATCTTTAATATTTCATTTTAAGATAAAAATATTATTTTGTGAATGTAAATTATTAGTCAACAAACTATCAAAACTCTAAAATTATAGTTTATTATTTTAAAAAGAAATGTTATAAGCCAAAATGTTTTAAAAAATAATAAGAGTTAAAGTGATTGTTTAATCAAATATTAATTTTTTTACCATAAAATACAATATTTAAAAATAAAATACTCAAAAAATATATAAAATAAATTAATTATTTAATGAAAGGTTAAAGAATTTTTTTAATATTATATTTAAAAATCTACAAGGTTAATGTTTAAGGCGGCTGCCAATTTTTGTAGTTTGAATCAGTGAGTCCACTAGGTTTTCTTTTCTAATTTGAGCCGTCCAAAAGGATCATAGTGGGTCCCGTTTAATGGATGATAGGACATAGATGACCATATTTTTCATATCATTATATTCATAAAAATAACATCAATCAGTTAAGATTCAATTACTAATTAAATTTAAAAAATCAACATATATGCATGGGGTTCAAACAATGATAGATGTTTTGGTAATTTAATTATTATTTTTTAATTCATATTTAATATAATGTTTAATTTTATTTTATTTATTTATCGTTAAAAAATTAACGTGATGTTGATATGATATTTTTAAATTATTTTTTAATACTAATATCTCGACTGTCTTTCGAGTGGGCTTGGAATTGGGCTTCAACTTTAAAAAAAAATGTTAGAGTCGTCACCAATCGTTTTAAAAAACATTTAGGTGGATCGGACACCATCTTACCTGATTTGCGTTTTACCAGAAATATATCAGATTCGGGAGTCGATTACAGTCAAGGAAGGATTAACACCCTTGTACTGCCCTTTCGGTATCAATTAATTTGTTAGTTGGCTTAATTGCGAAAAATTAAAATTTAAATTTAAAAACTTGATTCGAATTGCTTCCCTTTAATCGATTGAAATTACTACTGAAAAAAAATCAAAAATATGTTAGATTGTAAAATAAAAGAAATATTGAATAAAAATTAATTAAATAAAAAGAAAAATAAATAAGTAAATAAAAAATCAAATAAGGGGAAAATAAAATAAAAAATGTTATATAAAAATGTTAAAAGAAAAACGTAACAAAAAAAGAAAATGTTTAATTTCAGAAAAATAATAATAATAATAATAAAATGTTAAAAGAGGAAAAAAAGAAAGAAGAAAAAGAAAAAAAATAAAACAAAATGTGTTAAATTTTAAAGAAGATACAAAGAAGGAAAAAAGAATCAAATAATAGTTAAACCAAAACAAGATAGTGACTAAAATAAAATGTTTACAAATATAATACCCAAAGTCAAATTCTAATAAAGACAACAAAACAAATACAAACAAGATTAAAATAAAAGTACTGAAACATCGATACTCAAAATAAAATAAGTTAAAAGTTCATTCCATGGCTAGAAAATAAAATTACAAAGGATTAGAGACCCAAAACGT